CTATTCTTTAGAAATTCTGCAATTTTGTTTTTTAAGTTCTTTTGGTCCAAGAGTTGTTCAAAAGAGCTTATTTTTTTTTAATCTCCAAACAAGTATCTTTTACTTTTCTGAATTTTTAAAATTAATTTCTCACTTTACTTTCTCATGATTAGAAAATGTATCTGTACTATTTCTACTTTTTAGGATTAATTGAAATTTTCTTTATGGCCTAATATATACTCTATTTTCATGATTTTCAGGATAGAGAATTTGATATAAATTAATAAATTTTGCCTCATTAATTTTACTACTTAGTTTTTGATGTATCTACTTACTTTTTTCAGTCTTTCATAGATCAAAAGAAGTGAATTAGAATATCCTATTACCAGTCTATTGTATATTTTTCCTTGAATATTCCATAATTTCTCTTTTATATACGTTGCTCTCATATAATTGACATATATATTACATATAGCATTATTTATGTGTAACAACTCATGTCTTTATTGAGAATTGTGCTTACAGTTGAAACTTGCATTCTTGTTTAATTCAATGCTTCTTGGCCTAAATGTCACCTACTTTCTCTGTTCTTCCTGTTTTATGTTATTAAAGAAATTACAACATTTTTGTTTTTATGATTTTTAAAGGAAGTCTTTGGCTAAGGAATTTGTTTTTATTTTTATGTACTTGTGATACTTAGAAAAGCTTTTACTTTTGTTCTGGTGGCTACTTTTAAAATTAGCAATAATCGCGCCTCGGATAAACCTCATTGGCTATGATACTGCCACTGCGCAAAGCTGGTGGTTACTTTTATTTAGTATTCTTAGACTTTTATTTTTTGGACAGTATTTGTTACCTAATAGAAAGAGATAAAATTAGTGTGCATAATCTTTTACACTTTTCTCTCATCTACCTCCCAATTATATTCAATGTGTGATCTTAGTGTTTCTCTAACACTAATATTACATATGTTAAGATTTTTTTATTGTCTGACTTGTTAGATTTTAGTGATATCTTTGATACCCAGCTATTAGAAAGGAAATATTTGGAGAAACTCTCCTCTCATCTTCTTTTCATCTTTTCCTGCCCACATCAGCCACAGGTAAAAGTCTAAAATAATTTTCTAATTGGAAACATATTATATGATATAATATAATATAGTAAAATGCATGATATTTTAATGCTTTCTACTTTCAGAAACAACTTAAAATTAGTATTTATAAGTAGTCCCAGCTCTCCCCTTCTGTATCATTAAAATTTACATTGAAAACCTGGTACCATACTTCTACCCACAGATAACTGATCTGGGCTCTGCCAGAGCAAGTAATGGTGACATTGACCACAGAGACTCTGCCATGGAGACGTGGCTTTAGGTTCCCTTTTAAATTAGCTTCTCCAATTGGAGGTACTGATGTGAGGTAATGATTAAAAGCTCCTGTTTGTAACCATTTGTAATTATCAATGGCATCTAAACACGCTCATTAATTCCTACTCTTCACTTTGACAACTGCTGTCTTCGATCATTTTCTACTCTATTATCTATGTTACTGTCTCTATACCTTGGCAAAAATCTATCTTTTGCATGTTGGTGTGGTGTACTGGTGGAGAATGGATAATTATATATATATATATTTAAGATTTTATTTTTATTTATTTATTTGACAGACAGAGATCACAAGGAGGCAGAGAGGCAGGCAGAGAGAGAGGGAAGCAGACTCCCTGCTGAGCAGAGAGCCTGATGCGGGGTTTGATCCCAGGACCCCGAGATTACAACCTGACCCGAAGGCAGAGGCTTAACCCACTGAGCCACCCAGGCACCCCAATAATTTTATATTTTAATGGAGGTACTAATTGGCATGGGACCTATATTAATTTGGAAGGACTATAGAGGATTATGCCAGTAGAGAGTTAAAGAATATACAAAATAAAATCCAGCAACTTTCTGAGTAGTGCTTTGGTTGAGTGTGGTTGAGTCCATAATATTTAATGTGATAATCTGTAGAAGATTTTTTTTCTAGGTGATACTTCAAGAGAACTCTAGTGGTGGGGAGGCAGTGAATTCATTGTGCCAGAACATTGCTACAGGAAGTGGTAGGTGTGGGAGTAGAAGCATGATTTGGGGTTTTAATTTCTTCTCTTTTGTCCAAGCTACCATGACAAGCCACCATGGTAGAGAATATAAATGTGTCTTCCATTGTTCTTTCTATCGTCAATAATTTATTCAGTAATTATTGATGGAGAATCTAGACACCGTGTTAAGCCCTGGGGATACAATGATAAGCAATATGTACATGGATTATGTCTTCATGGATTTCTAGTCTACAAAGACACTCATGAGCCATAAACATCGTTGCAATAATTTTGAAAAAAAAAAATTTTTAGGAGTACATAGCAAAGACAAATAAGATGAGAGCTGAAGGATGCAAAATATGTGTGTGTGTGTGTATATATATATATATAGGAGAAGATAGAATAGGATCAAGTTGTCTAGGGAGAGAAAGGTGCATCTGTTAGGTGCTGAGGTGCTTGTCTCAGCTGAGGAACTGGAAAAACACAAGAATCAAGATAGGGAAGGGCCTGCTATTAAGGCTGGAAAGGGAAATTAGGGGATGCCAGATTCTGCTGGGATGCCATCATGAAGATTTTGGTCTTTATCATAAGGGCAGGGGTAGCTACATAATTTCAGAGGCTCAGTGATATGAAAATGAAAATATGGTATTCCTTTTACAAAAATTATTAAGAATTTCAAGACAGTGACAGCTGAGTATTAAACCAAATGCAGGACCTTTCTAAGCACTGTGCTTAGTGTCACTGCACTGGTCACAAGCCCATGACATTGGCCTACCTAACGGCAAAGAGAAACCAAGGGAAAGTGTGAAGTACAGAGGAGTGATGACTGGATTGGCAGTTTAAAAAGTTATATTGTTCTACCAAAGCATGTTTAGTTGGTGAGGAAAGGCAGAGGAATATTAATATCTCTCAGATCCAGGATTATAAATTATTACTAATATTATCTTCGCAAGGCATGTGCTTAGATACACAGTTATCCAGAATCTACTCAATTTGTTAGTAGAAGCAGGAAATATGGTAAAGTCTGAGATTTTTGCTTAAGGTCATCCTATGTCAACCAATATTTTAACACACTTGAATAATTTTTTCCTCTAATCATTTAACAACAGAAGCAGAAAGTTTCAACTAACTGACAAGAATATTGCTTAAAATAAATAAAGTTCTTTCTTGTTTATGAAAAGGTATGAAGAACTTGGAAGTTTGGAAAAGAAAATAATTTAAATACAAGGAGGACAATGTCCTGCTCATCCTTGTTTGTTGTAGTGATTTGCATATTCTGTTTAGATGTGTTCCATTGTTTTAAAACAATAGGCTGTATTTCATATGCAACCAGATATTGAGAATCAAATCTTTTGTCCATCATCATTCTGCCAAAACAAGTCTTGAATATTGTATGCTGTAGTAAGCAATAAGTGAAGGAGAAAAAATTCAAATAACCATTTTATTTTTTACAATAACAATCCTAATTTTGTTTGTGCTTATGAATTTCAAATACCTTACAGAGAAATAACACTATCACAAAACTAAAAAATTGATAGTGATCCACAGTTTTAATTTTTCAGTACATAGAGAATCAATTTTCTTTAAGGACTTTAAGGACTTTGATGATAGGTCAACCTATTACTCTTTAAAATATCTGACAACTCAAGAAATCAGTAACCTTATTTTTTTTAATCTGATTAATTCAAGTTTATAAATGTTAATGGTAAAAAATACCCCCAGCTTTTAAAAAAAATCACAAGTATTTTTAGAAAGAAGGCATTTGTTAAATATTTGTGTACTATGACTATAAAAAGGAAATATTTTTTGTGGATATCGTTCTTCTTTAGACACATGCTATAAATTATAAGAAATGACCTTATTTACTTATTAATGTTTATGGTTTGGCTATATAAGCAGAGTGTCTTAGAGAGTGATACCAAATGAGTAAAACGTAGGGGAATGAGAGAGGTACAATCCTCCTATATTAATTTGGAGCTTGTGAGTGCAGAGCAGTGCATAGTGGGGAAGTGAGTCGTTAATTTAAAGTTACTTCAGTTTAACAGAAGAGGAGGCAGACGCACACATAAATATACAACTTAATAAGCGATTAACACTATTCAACTTGATCTGATTGGATAGAACTATGCACCTAAGGTTAGGAAACCACAGTGGCAGATACAAGCAGAGGCAATAAGCCTATGGGCCTCATCTTAAAGGCAAAGAATCAGAAGGAGGATATGGATAAAATAAAGACTTGGAGTTGCAAAGGAAAGGGTGAGGTCTAGCAAATTACGGGACTGCAAATCTTGCGTGAGATAAAAAACAGTCTCAGTATTGGATGACTACTGGCAACGGAATTTTATTATGAATGCTTAAAATTGATGGGACATTCAGAGAGAGTCCCTTCCAACCTAGGAGAAATACTAGAAAATACTAGAAAAGTTAATTAGAACTAACACACATTTGACAGAAAATAGGGTGGGTAATTGTGCTGGGCTAGTTTGGGATCCAGATAATAAAAAGAAGACTTCATGAGGGAGGCAGAGTGGTTATTGAGCTTTAAAAGATAAGAGTGAAACTGCGAGATAATTCATAATCATTATTATTGCCTAATATTTATTTTTGTTGCTTCCTAAGCTGTTGAGTAAACTGGAAGACTTACCTGCAGGGGGAAAACAGGAACTCTGTCTCTGAAATGCAATTCCACCTCAAAGCACAATTAACTGAAATGAGTTAATAGTGTGACATCATGTAGTTATTATAATTGGACAAAAACACATTGGTTCGTTTTAACTTGAACATTTTCTAAGGGGTTAAAAATCTTTGGAAATAGTTAGAAAAGACCCTTAAAGCTTATTCTTTAAAAAGATTATAATTTGAAAGTTGAAAATAATATTGTTGTGATATTTTTTGCACAATTATATAGAAACTCAAAAATTGTATATAATAATACTGATGACATTACTTGCCTAGGTCCATAAGCGATGATTCAATTGTTTGTTGCACAGGCTCAGAGAGGAAAAAACTAAGCACACAATCACTCTGAAAAATAAGACAAAGTATAATGTTTCTTCATATCTTATATTTATTTATTGCTCCTATTCACAGGTGGGACTCCTGTGATGGGGGGATGGACCCATAATCCAATATGACTGGTATTTTTAGAAAAAGGGGAAGTTGAGACACATTCATGTAGGAAAGACAATGTGAAGAGACACAGGTCAATGATGATCTTTTGTAAGTCAAGGAGAGAGGCATGGAATGATTTTTTCTGTCACAATTATCAGAAGGAACCAAACTTGTGGACACTTTGATTTCAGACTTTCAGATTCCAAAAATGGGAAACAATGTATTTCTGTTGTTTAAGTCACCCAGTGTGTGGTACTTTGTTAAGGAAGCCCGAGCTAACTAACACAGCACCCAGTGGTGATCCCTACATCTATGACCGGGATTCTAGTCCTTCCTTCTCAGGAACCTTGTGGAATATCTCAGTCTATACTTCAGTAGATTTACCTTCTTCCTTTCTTTCTCACCAACATAAAGTAGTCTCTTCATTAACAGCTAGCAAACAGAAGAGTCAAACCACACAAAATGTACTCACACATGAACAATACCTTGTCACAAATGCCCTTTTCAAACCTTGTGTTATTTCCCACCTCTTTGACAAATCTTAAGTTGCCAACATTCATACGGCTTCAACTTCTTCAATTTCTACTCTATGATTTATAACACTCAGTTTTCTGCCACTAACTGTTGTCCAAAAATGTTCTTACCATTATTTTTTTTTAAGATTTTATTTATTTATTTGACAGAGAGAGAGAGATTACAAGTAGGCAGAGAGGCAGGCAGAGAGAGGGCGAAGCAGGCTCCCCGCTGAGCAGAGAGCCCGGTGCAGGGCTCCATCCCAGGCGCCTGAGATCATGACCTGAGCCAAAGGCAGAGGCTTAACACACTGAGCCACCCAGGCGCCCCTCTTACCATTATTTTTAACAACTTTTACTTTTCAAATGTCTTTTGTTCCCCTCCAAATCCAGTGGGATTAGCCTTTATATAGCTGTTATTAGCCTTTATATAGCTGTTCCATTTTTAATGAGAAACTCTCTTTCATTTGCTTTTATGATACTAAGTTCTCCCAGTTTTGCTTCTATCTGTCCCACCATCTCTCTCTCTCTCTCTCTTTTTTTTTTTTTTTTTGAACTGTTTTTCCTCAGGCTCCTTTTCTTTTGCTTGTAATATAAGTTCTAGTGTTCCTCATTTCCAGGCCGTCCCTCTAATTACTGACCCATTCTTTCTGCGTGATGATATCCCTTTTGGTGGCTTCTATAATGATGTACAAATCTAAACCTTAATCCCAGATCTATCTCCTGAGCCTCAGCCTGCTATTTCATAATACCTATTTGTTGGCTTCCTTGACTATTGGAAAGACAATTAAAACTGAAAAGTGCACCAGTAAATGCATTTTCTTTGCCCTCAAACCGCTACTTCTTCTCATTTCCAGACTCAAAATAAGGTGTATCTTTTTAGACTCTCTGTTCTCCCTTACCCTACACGTAATATTTATTGCTAAGTCTCACTGACTTTAATTCTTAAATATCGCAACCATCTATTTTCTTCTTTTCAGGTATGCTTCTGACTTCCAGCATCATTACTTCTCACCCAAATTACAGCAGAGTGTTTCTCCAAGCCTTATCCTGTTACCCTTTGATTCAATCTGTTCTCCATTTAATTGTAAAACTGATCTTTCAAAGTAAAAATCTAACAGTTAACTGCTTAAAATCTGGCAGTGGCTCCCCATCGCTCTTAAGAAATAGGTCAACTGCTTCACAAGGTTTGTATGACCTTTCTTGACTGGGATAATGTTCATTTTCCCTCTTCATCTGTCAGCATTTCTCCTCCAGTTATTTTATGCTTAACTACAGCTGAATTATATTTATTTCCTCAAGTGTGTTATGCTCTTTCACCTCCTTATCTTTCTACACATTCCATTATCCATCCTTTCCACTCCTATCCACCCATCTGCCCAAGGTTTATCACCTGTTTTCTTTCCTATTCCTTTAGTTTAGTCAATAAGGTATCAAGAGGGATTGTCATTTATTCACTCATATCTAATACAGTATTTTTGCTCAATAGATATTTCTTAACCAGAACTGAGATCTCTCTTTAGATATAGAATACATTGGTTTTCTAATACAAATATTCTTATCTATGTAGCAATTTTATACATCGTAAATTAATTACCAATTTTGATCTCTACATATTGATCCCTTGTGAACTTGCTTAGTAAGACTCTATCCTCAAGAAATGTATCCATATTCAGGATGCTGACTAAACCAAGTTTTCTTACTTTGAAATCTTGAAGACAAACTTAGGACTGTGCAGAATTCGTTGAAGAAAATTTGACCTTCTTTGGCCTTTTGACAACTTGTCAATTATTCTTCTCTCGCGACATTTTGGCCTCACCACCCAATGGTTATTAAACTTCAATAGGAGGCAGAATATCTTCCCAATTAGTATCTGAAATGTCACCACTAGCTAATTATTCCCTTGTGTTTACACTGTCATATCCTTGAAATCCTCATTTGTAATTCCGGGTGTGGGTGACATACTAAATACTAATTCCTTATTGTAACAAGATTGTTTTCATTCTTGAGGAGAAACATGATTCAGCGTCAAGGGAGGCAGAAATCAATGAAAGAGATGAAGAGGATAGGAAAAGTAATGTTGCTGGATCTTAAAATAATTGATTTAAAATTTTCTCTGACTTGACTTTACTCAGGGGCATGCCTCCTTCTGCTTTTTAGCACATTGCACCACTGGCAGTTTGAGTTATAGAAATGTCAGTAGCTACAATTGTTCTTACTGATAACTTAGATCAATGTTCTCAACTGGGTTTGTATTGACTCCTAAGCAATGTGGTGATATTTAGCTCTGTAAGTTGTATACTGAGCAACTTTACAGGTGCCCTTTTTACATGAACTGCAAATATAATCCTACTTAAAAGTATTGCCCGTATGTAGGGCTGGCAGATATAGCAAATAAAAAGAGAGGATGTCCATGCAGTATTCGCAACATACTTATTCTATTTTTTTCCTTTCATTGTATTTTATATATATGTGTATTATTTTCTTTTTTCTTTAAAAAATATTATTTTATTTTTTTTTCAGTGTTCCAAAATTCATTGTTTATGCACCACACCCACATATGGTATATAAACAACATACTTATTCTAAAAAAATATTTATCTCAAATTCAAATTTAACTGGATGACCTGCATTTTATCTCACTACCCTATAATATGAAGAATCTAGAAAATGTGTGAGCACACTTTTGGTTGTCTCAGAGGATGCAACTGGCAATTAATGGGCAAGGCCACTTATCCTAAATGTCCTGCAATACACTTAGGAGATTCTTACGTTACGAGGAATGTTGCTTTCCCGCTTAATCCTTCAAAAGGTAATCATTTCCCAGGTAAAAAAAAAAAAAAAAAAAAACAACTCTGAATTTAATTACTTTATTCCAGAAGTGGGAAAACTGAATACTAGATAGCATAAGTGATTCACTGATTGAAATTAGTACCACACAAAAAAAAAAAAAAGCGCCCAAACAAAGAGTGGTAGAGAGTAGTCAATGAGCCCAGGACCACCTATGTTACTATTGCCAATGGCCTACAGATGTGAAGAATGCATATGGGGGACAGGTAGGAGATGTCGGTAGAGAGAATTCTGTAGGAGTCCTAGAACATGGTAACGCTACACAAGCTTGAAACTACTGTGACCTATTGATGAATTTTAAGCAGAAAATCATCACAATTAGATATTTTTAGAAAGATGACAGTGTAGCATTGTGGAGGAAAGGAGAAAAACAGCAGCCAGTTTAGGAGAATATCATCAGTAAAATTCCTCATATGCTCAATATATTGTATTTTCTGAGCATTCCATTCTGATTTCCCACTAAATCTCTAAAATGGCATTTGCGTTCTTTCCCATTCTATTTATAATCCCAGTCCTGGTTGTGAGGTAGGTCTCCTCTTTGCATCTCCTTGGTCTTCTAACCTCCCTTTGTTATACTTTTATAAAAAATACTCTGCTTTGAAGATCGTGTTTGCTGACTATCCTGCCCTCCTCACTTGCTGTTGCACCTGTCTACTGATCTTTAGGTCACTGATCTTCACTTCTTGAACATTTTCCACCTTGGAACACTGTATTGTCTTCAATAGTTCTTGTCATAATTCATACTTATTTTAATATTCACACAAATTATCCTTCCCTGTGGTTACCTTCTTTATTTTTGAACTCCCCTTATCCATTGATTTTGTTCTGCATCCCACTCAGTCACTCACTCCTGTTCCCTTGATCTTGATCAGTGAAGAAAGCTCTTCCATTAACCTTGATTTCTAGTTGCTTAGTTTACTATCACCATCTTCTTCCTTTCCAGCTCATTCCCTCTAGTTATACAACTCAAACAATCTGTTGACTCTAAGACCTTTTCACTGGCCTTACTCATTTCATATTCTCATGTTCCTTCTTGGACACTTTGGATCTCATGATTGATACTAATAATTCCATTGCATATTTCTTTCAACTTGTTTGGCCCTGTCTCCTTTTATTTCATTATATATTTTTCAGTAACCCAACCTGGATTATTCTCTGCCAATGCTGCAACTGCAGCAGGCCTGCTGAATGTTCCTGGAGAAAAGCACTCAACCAACCACACTTTACTGGTCTTACTATCACCTCATGCCCACTACCCTCAAGTTGGTTTTTTTAAGATTTTCTGGCAAGCTATATGTGTCAGTAGTCCATTTATTCCTCTATTCACCTATAGGTCTATTTAATAACTTATCCTTGCTCCCCAACATGCCCACATACTTTCCCTCTCTTTCAGTCTTCTCAAGGCTGTCTTCTTATTGACAGAAAAAATGGAAAAGAATTTCTATAAGCTTCCTCCAACACACCTGTTATCTTACCTCACTTCTGTCCTTTCCTCTATTACTTGGATGTACTATCTGTGCTTTAATCTGAGACGAATTTGGGCACTAGATC